AGCTTATGCCCAAATAAATCTGTTAGTCTTTAAGGTGCTACCAGACTCCTTGTTGTTTTTGATTGAAAAGTGTGAATTGGGAGTGCTTTGTTCCAGGTGGACCTTGAGTGGTTGATTGGAGGGAAGGCTTTGAGCCAGGCCACCTGCTTCAAGCCAGCAGCCTTATAAAAAGGCAGCCAGCAGCGAACTGAGTGAGTAGCGAACAGAGGACAGGCAAACAGAGGGAGTTTGCCTGGGAGTTTGCCTGCGGGGAGTTCGCATAATGTGTTTTTGCCTTCCAGGCTCCTGTGAGCAGTACATACAACATCTGAGACGCCTCTTATAAGGAAGACATGGATAGTGAGCGATCAGCTGTTGTGACCTGCTCAGAATGTGCCATGTTTGTCTTTCTCCCAGAGGACAGAAGCGACTTTGTCTGTACAAAGTGCAAGCTGGTCTGCATATTGGAAGAGAAGCTTCAAGGACTAGAGAACCAAGTGTCAATCCTGCATTGCATCAGAGAACATGAACATGAACATTTTCTGAATAGAAATCAGTGTTTGGTGTTGGAAGCACAATATGCAGAAGAATCAGAGACTGCAGCACAGAATGGGGAAGAATATTGGCAGCATGTGACCTCCAGAAGAAGAGGTTTGCTCCTCAAACTCCTTTATCCTTCTTCCCAGAGCCACGTCGTCTGCAGTGATCCACTCAAGGTCATTCTTGGCAGTATCATTGGTGCCTACGTGATGAAGTAGGAAGGGGTAGCAGTCCAAGGTCTTGATCAGACTCGGCAGACACTCCGACACATCCTGGATTCTAGCTACAGGCAAGCAGCACAGTTCTCAAGCCTCCCGGTCTGGTCGGCAGATGAATGACTCTGTCCCCCTTTCGACCACCACCACCCGTCTCTTCCTCTTGGGAGTTGTGGTCGTGGAACCCCCATCCCGAGGACAATGCATCCAATGCCTTCTGGATGATGGGGTCTCCTTCTGATCCCTTCCCTCAGAGGGCTTTTCCAAATCCTTCTCTGCAGTAGTACCTGTGCAGAGAGCCTGAAAACAGTTTTGAAACTGGAGAAAAGCCTGCTGAGAGTCTTTGGGTTAAGTTTAAAGGCGAGAGCAACAAGGGTGATGTTATGGTGAGCGTGTGCTATAGACACCGTATCAGAAGGATGAGTAGACGGGGCTTTCTTCGGACAACTAACTGAAGTTTCCAGATCAAAGGCCCTGGTTCTAATGGGGGACTTCAATCACCATGACATCTGCTGGGAGAGCAATTCACCAATGCACAGACAATCCAGGAAGTGTTTGGAGAGTGTTGGGGACAACTTCCTGGTACAACTGCTGGAGGAACCAACTAGAGGCCGTGTTCCTCTTGACCTGCTGCTTACAAACAGGGATGAATTGGTAGGGGAAGTAGAACTGGGTGGCAATCTAGGCAGCAGTGACCATGGGATGGTTGAGTTCAGGATCCTGACAAAAGGAAGAAAGGAGAGTAGCAAAATACAGACCCTGGACTTCAGAAAAGCAGACTTAGACTCCCTTAGGGCAGGAAGCCCCCGGGAGGCTAATATGAAGGGGAAAGGAGTCCAGGAGAGCTGGCTGTATTTTAAGGAAGACCCATTGAGGGCGCAGGAGCAAACCATCCCGATGTGTAGAAAGAATAGCAAATATGGCAGGTGACCAGCTTGACTTAATAGTGAAATCTTCGGTGAGCTTAAACTTAAAAGGAAGCTTACAAGTGGAAATTTGAACAGATGACCAGGGAACTACAAACTGGTCAGCCTCACTTTAGTCCATGGCAAAATCATGGAGCAGGTCCTCAAGGAATCCATTTTGAAGCACTTGGAGGAGAGGAAGGTGATCAGGAACAGTCAACATCGATTCACCAATGGCAAGTCACGCCTGTCCAACCTGATCACCTTCTATGATGAGATATGTGGCTCCATGGATATAGGGAAAGTGGTGGCTGTGATATATCTTGACTTTAGCAAAGCTTTTGATATGGTCTCCCATAGTATGTTTGCCAGCAAGTTAAAGAAGTATGGATTGGATGAATGGACTATAAGGTGGATAGAAAGCTGGCTAGATTGTCGGGCTCAATGGGTAGTGATCAACGGCTCAATGTCAAGTTGGCAGCCGGTATCAAGTGGCGTGCCCCAGGGGTCAGTCCTGGGGCCAGTTTTGTTCAACATCTTTATTAATGATCTGGATGATGGGATGGATTGCACCCTCAGCAAGTCTGCAGATGACACTAAGCTGGGGGGAGACGTAGATATGCTGGAGGGTAGGGATAGGGTCCAGAGTGACCTAGACAAATTGGAGGATTGGTCCAAAAGAAATCTGATGAGGTTCAACTAGGACGAGTGCAGAGTCCTGTACTTAGGACAGAAGACTCCCATGGACTGCTACAGGCTGGGGACTGACTGGCTAAGCAGCAGTTCTGCAGAAAAGGACCTGGGGATTACAGTGGACAAGAAGCTGGATATGAGTCAGTAGTGTGCCTTTGTTGCCAAGAAGGCCAATGGCATATTGGGCTGTATTAGTAGGAGATTGCCAGCAGATTGAGGGAAGTGATTATTCCCTTCTATTCGGCATCGGTGAGGCCACACCTGGAGTACTGTGTCCGGTTTTGGTCCCCCCACTACAGAAGGGATCTGGACAAATTGGAGAGAGTCCAGCAGAGGGCAATGAAAATGATTAGGTGGCTGGGGTACATGACTTATGAGGAGAGGCTGAGGGAACTGGGGTTATTTAGTCTGCAGAAGAGAAGAATGAGGGGGGATTTGATAGCAGTCTTCGACTACCTGAAGGGGGGTTCCAAAGAGGATGGAGCAAGTTTGTTCTCAGTGGTGGCAGATGACAGAACAAGAAGCAATGGTCTCAAGTTGCAGTAGGGGAAGTCTAGGTTGGATATTAGGAAAAACATTTTCACTAGGAGGGTGGTGAAGCACTGGATTGGGTTACCTAGGGAGGTGGTGGAACCTCCATCCTTAGAGGTTTTTAAGGCCTGGCTTGACAAAGCCTGGCTGCGATGATTTAGTTGGTGTTGGTCCTGCTTTAGATGACCTCCTGAGGTCCCTTCCAACCTAATATTCTATGATAAAGGACCCGTGGGTCAAGTGCCCGAGGTTATGTGAAAAGGGAAAGCACCTTCTGCCCTAACACTTCTCTCAGCCCCATAATCATTTACTTTGCTGAGTACCTATGGGCGAATCTGACCACAGTGCAGATGGCCTAATGTTACTTCACAGAATCACAGAAAGGTCCTGGGAGTGATAAAGATTTGTGTATATCCAGAGATCATATCCAACCTTCTCCTTTGGAGTACAATGCAGTAGGTACTGAACTTCAGCAGGGCCAAACTGCAGAGGGATGGGTGTTGAGTGCGGTGGGTAGTGGGAGTCTGCAGTGCTGGATTGTGAGGGGAGTGGAATGCCGCAGGTAGAGACT